GGAGGAAACGGAATCTTTACGGTATATGCATTCATAAAGTGATTTGAGAATACCTGATCTGTACCATCATCGTCATCTTTTATTGATGCAGTACTGATGTCTCCCCATAATATTGAAATATTTCCTCTTGTTTTAGTCGTTTCGTTCATGTACAAATATAAGCGTTTAGGGTAGTCTTTAGATTCTTTGACAAGTTTTTCTTCGTACAACCTTTTAGACTTGCAGAGGGTTGGGGCCAAAATATTTCAAGCTTCCCGATATTCTGGTATTTGCCTCCAGACATGTGGTGTGGCTCGGGTTGACACATGCTCGTAATATACAACAATATGGAAATCGGAACTAGAACTTATTGATGGTATTGATGGTATACAATGGAGTTTGTGGCATCACAGTGGTTCAACATGTGATCAAGTAAGGATGATTCGGACTCCGGGTTGTATTTAATTGCTTCTTTCACGTGTCGCTTTAGTGCACATGTGATAATCCTATCAATTTGTTTTCGTTCGAATGAACGTTTTGACGGTTCAGTCTTCAGATTTTTCCGGACTACCGTTGAGTCATTAGTCCCCCAATATTAAACATCAACCACGTGATGATCAAGAGTTGAAACCATCTCGTTCACCTCGCAGTTTGGACTGCAGTAGATCTAATCAATTGGTATCCCTTGTCCTTTTTGTTTCAAACGTCAACCAAATTATTCACACGTCTCACTTCCACGGAATATGGTATCAATAACAGTTAGTGGAATACTGTTTTTAATGAATAGAGCTACTTCTGTTTTAAGCTTCGGGATTCTGTCGGCTCTCATGAATATGAAACCTTAAAAATCAAGTTCCCTACTGTCAACAGGCTGTGTCAGCCACGTTTCTGTAATTGCACTTACATCCGGCTTGGTAAGACCTATACGTTTACCAGGCTCCAAACTCTTGTTGAGGAAGCTCCGAACATTTGTGTTACAGATCAAAAAACAATTTAAATGGTTTTATGCTAACTCAAAGAGACTTCGGCATCACTCGCTGTTGAAGCCCCGCCACCCTAAAATTTGTGGTGGAACTGGGCCTTAACCACCCGATCCCCAAAGCTGAGCACGAGACAACTGAGAAAATAGACAGTTCACATTTAACGCGGAATAAAACCCAACGATGGAGACAGCGGGAAGATGAATTTAGTGGATTCGAATTAATCGGATGGCATGGCCCAGCCTCGCAGGCGTGATTGCTCTGTAAAACGTACTTTTACTCATATTAAATATATTGTTCTATCTCCAGCCTGAATGTGCTCTCCATCATATAATGGTAGTTGTTACAGTACGATGAGCCACTGTAGACAATGGTGTGACTTCCACGTAAGATCCCATAGATTAAGCAGTTACATTATGACAAATCTGCAATTTTAGAATTAAATCCATAGCTAGAGCGGTATTAATATCATAGTAGACCACAATTCTACAAATTTGCAGTTTTCGGGCCCTTTTCGACAGCAGCTAACCTTGGTTTCAGTTCTTTATCAGCTTCTCGTCTTTTTATACGGTCCGCAAGTGGCAATTTTTCAGTGCAAAACTCTGGACCATTTTTTACTAATGAGTCCATTTCATTGGAAAATTTCAATGCTACTTTTAGCAACCTGATTTGATTCTGCTTCGAAACTGTTTGACCACTCAGTCTATAAACCTTTAGTAAGGTGATTCTGGAGATATCCTGAGGAATAGGCTGTTCTAATAGCTGTTTTATCAACTCAACGTCATGCTCAAAACGAGTTCTGGGTACTAAGCTTTTACTCTCCTTGACTATACAGAAGAAAACTGATCTATCACTATGATCAGTATCTAATTTTTCGGTTACTTTTGGTAAACTGACTTTTCTTTAGAAACGTGAGGTTGTGTATTGTTCTTAACCTGCACACACTCATCATCAGACGCTGGAGTCGCCAGCTCAGTGGCGTTGTAAACAGTGCTGGATCTTCGACGACTGTAAATTACTTGGGTAGTCAGGTCGCTGCTTTCCCTGTCAGAAATGGACCTAGATTTAAGGCAGGGCTTTCTAAGTGTTTCCTGCTGGCGTCCATTTGCAGGACTTGGGATAAAAGAGACTTTTTTCTCCAGATTTCTTTTCTAACAGAACTCTCTATAGGCCATCCTTCCTCTTTTGGTCCTTGTCAGTTAGTTGATTGTGAGTGATTTTGAGAGAGCTTCTCATCATTTAGTTTATCGAACTAGTAAGTACCATTTGAGCTTTCTGATACTCCTTTTAATAGCACTCACCATTGTAATGGCTTCAGATACCAAGCTGTTTGTGTCCGAGCAGCACTACTGACACAACTACACGCAGATATTTCTGCTTAGTCGTTTGAAAAACACAGGCGTTCAGTTCGTCCAAACTCGTGGTACCATCCTTTGGAGTCATATAATGAACGCCACTTTCCACAGAGTATCGACAGCTTGGGCATTGGCAAGTGTTTTTTGCGCTATCCAGCAGCCAACGAGAGGTTTTAACAAAACTAGACACAAACAATACCCAGAGACATGAGAAACTGATAGTCATAAAGAGTAAAAAGCTGTAAACTGTCAGAATCCAAAGTGCAAACATATACAAAACATCCTTGCACTGAAAAGAAGATGTGATAAATTACTTTTTAAAAACAACGTGGTGATTAGTTTAGTTAACATAAACTCCATTGAATCGAAAACAGTAGTCTTGAGTCGTAAAGAATTACCAAAACAGTAGAAATAAACTCACCGAAGAAAAACACCACTATCCTTTTTAAATAGTGCGTGTAGCGTTTCGTCATCAGAGCTTCTAGACGCTGCAACCTATTTCGCAACAGCTTCGAGTTTAACGAACAGACAGTTTTTCTCTGACGTAAACGTCCCCTTCGTTATTCATATCAATTTCACCATTTTACACGTCACTACTCACTGTTCCTTATTACTATACTTTATCTGAAAACTCGTTAACCACAACCCAACAATAGCAACTTATATGAGATCTATTTACCGGTCAGGCTTGTTGTTGATTGATACACTGTAGAAGTTCCCACATCGTTGAGGATTATGTCGATTTACCCTGCTTCCCATCCTGAACATCCATAATTTTGTATTTGTAAATACGTCCCCAAAATAAGTAGTTCTGTGAGTCTTTGACAGGGGTGCTGACCTCATCAGTTTTACTGGACAAACCTAGCTGGGGGCTCTCCGTAATGCATCTACACCAGATCACGAGTGGGTACGTTGCTCTACACATCCATTGTAACTGCTAGCCAGCTTAGATTAGACACTTCTTGATAGTTAAATAGGCTTCAAAAAATATATTTAAACCTCTTCGTTTCTGAATTCTGAGTCGAATGTGTTGGCGAACTTAGATTATGAAAGTGTTGCATGTAAATGCATTGTCAAAACCCGAATACCTATACATCATTAGTTTCATGATTTCTACTAGTTGGTGCTACCAGGTCATTCATTACCACTAGGTATTGATACATAGATATATCTGCATATTTCTATTGTAGTAAGAACACTACAACAGCGTCTCACATGACACAATCTTTAGAAGTTTCAGCTCATCATCTTGCCAGGCTCAAGGTCACAAAAAAGTACTGGCAAGTATTTGAAGCTGGCGGAATTTTTGAGTGTTGTCTAAAACTGCACGTTGTTGGGCTGTACAACTATATTAAGTTGGCGGTCCAAAATGCAGCCAATTTGAACTTAAACCGTATTAAATGTAGTCGCTTTTCTTATGAATTCCCTGTGCTCCATCCAATTGCGTTGAGCGGCAACACGACTTCGAAAAATGTTAAAAACCAATGTGGCTAATTTTTGTGTTTTGGGGAAATTTTTGCGAAGCCGATATAGAAAACTGTGGGGAAATGGCACAAAACCTCAGAAGTTTCGGCAACTTTTGAGAAACCCATTTGCGTCCTGTGATCAGACCCAATTGTCTTTTTGGCATGTTAATTGCATTCTGACGATTTCGGGTTATCCCCATTACTGCATTCGGAAAACCACAAGATCGTCAGTAGTACAAGAAACCCAATCGACTTAGTAAAAGGTACCCAAAAGTTACAACTCATCTAACCCATATTTTTCAGTTAACTTGGTAACAGGAGTCGGTCTGTCGCGATAGATAAGCATTGCCGTAATTAGAAAAACTGATATTTTTGTTAAAATTCAGAAAGAGTACAAATTGTCCATTAATGAATAACGTCTTCGAATTCTTAGCAACTGCTAATGCGTTCAGGTTGATTACATTAGGTTGATTTTGAACTTTCATTCACATTGTTCTTCAAAAAATTACTCTTCTGCATCACAAACTCAGTATCGAAACAGCCAAATTGCTAATGGTAGACTAAAGATTGCCCTGTCATACCAATTATTCACGCGACCATCGTAACTAATGGTTGGAGACTGGGTAACATGACTTATAATCGATCACAACGGCGTAGGTATATACACTCTCTGTCTTCCCTTAAACTGTGAGATTAAAATTGCTATATGCCCTTCTTTCTATCAACTAGTTCTTTCTTCCTGTACTATATGCTTATACACAATCTTTCCTTTATATATTACTACCATTGAAGTGACTTCTATGAATTCGGTGTTCATCTTGTGCTAATGAGGTGTGGCAACTTGGACCGATGCATATATGTGCCTGGTCCTATGTTGTAGCTGATTGACTGAATCATCTAACCTATGAATCCATATTGTCATGTAAGAATTTAATTATGTACCAAGGGTATAACAATAATGTTTGCTGAATTAAGAACTCTCAGTTAGGTCTATAAACACTTGCGAAGCCAGCTCAAAATATATGGATAAGGAATAATTATTTCAGTATAAATGTTTACCAAGTTTCCAAATTTGGTATTTACCTTGTTGTTTTGTTATCAGTGTTCTCAAGAAAATAAATGATATATCAGCTGAAACATCTCACCAGTTTTACATCTTTTTTCTTCTGACTCATGTAGTTGTATTTTCATTTCCAGATTCATTTCTTAAAAGATCTGCCATGTCATATGCTTCGGCGGTCGATATTTCAAAAGTTTCTGACCCATCGTTTGATCAGGGTGCTCATGAAAATATATTCGCTCTAGACATCGGTGGTTCACTTGCGAAATTAGTATACAAACGCGTCTTCCGGTATAGACGTTCTATACCCCAGCAATGTCGTAAAAGTGTCAGTGAAAATGAAATACCTTTTGACTTTTATGAGTACACAGAACACGAAGACGAAGGACAAAAACTATGTTTCATGAAATTCGAAACTAAGAACATAGAAGAATGTTTGGATTTCATTCTTTTTAACATAACACATCAAGGTGCTTCATCCAAAAAAACAATTAGTAAGATCAAGGTGACTGGTGGGGGTGCTTATCGCTATCGTGAACTAATTTGTTCGAAGTTGGGAGTTGAATTGGATAAAGAAGATGAAATGGATTGTCTTGTAAGAGGATGTGTATTTATGCTTCGAAACATCCCAGATGAGTTATTTTATTATGACAAACATGCTACTCCAGCTCACGTCTTTGTTCCAAATTGCTTGGTGAGTACGTTCCCTTTCCTTTTGGTCAATGTTGGGTCTGGCGTTAGTTTCTTGAAAGTTAAAAGTCCCACGTCTTACCAAAGGGTTGGTGGAACGTCTATTGGGGGTGGCACTTTTTGGGGTTTAGGAACGCTGTTATCTGGAGGTAAGACTATATCATGAACTAGTACTCTTCACTTTTTGAAGCATATCTCTTTCACAGTAATCAATAAAACGTTAGTTAAATCACTTCGAATTAAAGCTTTAGTTTTGCTAGTTTTTGCATGAAGTAAAGCCAAGTCATCATCTACAGTCTGATTTAGTTTCAATGGCATCATTGATGTCCCAAAAAAACTTGTACAGTTTCCTGAACAGTTAAATTTTCCATATTATTAAAGTCATGACATATCGATGCCCTTATATTTATGTAGTGAATATGATAAAGACTACTACCGGTTGTTTTGTCTGAAATTCACTGTGAGCGCGATAACTTTTTTCCCTGTGTTACTGTCGTTTTCTGCTAGTAATTTTGATAACTTGAATACTATAGGAAAGTTTACTTTCGATGAGCTTCTGGAAATGGCGGATTCCGGTGACCACCGCAATGTTGACATGTTGGTACGCGATATATATGGAGGTGCGTATGAAACACTTGGACTTTCTGGGGATGTAATTGCGAGCTCATTTGGTTTAGCCGCCCGTCATCCGGAACAACCTCGTGTGTTAGGTGATATGGTGAAGTCCCTACTAATTACAGTTAGCAAGTAAGTGTTCAGTATTTCTTTCACTTATCTTACAGCTAATAAATCCCGTGTTATATCCTGTAAACTTTAACAGTAAAGGCGTTAGTAATGACTTCCAATCATACATCATTCTGTCTACTGATCAGATATAATATCTTATTACTGTATCAAATGGCATGATCTTTTGATATATGGTGCTTTTTATCATGGAAAAATTTTCTCCAATCTTAACAACTGAAACTGAAGGTATCTTCAAAATCAGTAGTAGTTTCTGCTATCGATTTATGTTTCACAAGAACAAAAATAATTACTGATACATTCTCTAGACTATCGCTTAGTCGGTCACTGGTATATACTTAAATGTGTGAAAACTCGGACCCCATCAATATCTTTTTTTCTCTTTTTACATTTTTATATGTCCTCATAATTAGAATCTCCTCGAACAATAAGCAGCTGTGAAAACAGGATTTAAGGACGACAGATTTTGATTTGTAATAATAATCCTTTTTTAAAGTTTATCACTCATATGGTGATTAATTACTCGAAATTGAATCGTAAAGTCTCCCGACATCATTTTGTGGTAATGAATTTTCGGTTCTTTACGCTATGTGAATAGTTGCATAAGTTGCGATGTATCAATTAATTTCTCGACCGCCATATTTTTTACGCGTTCATAAAATTATGTATATATCATGAGAAGTTTATTGTATGATTCACTTTTGCTTTATAAAGGTTTTTTTAATCTATTTGCCGCTTTATTTGTGAAAATTAGCATCAAACTTGAATTATCAACGTAGGTATTCATCTACTGCATTGATCTGAATCGTAATTTTGTGGTTACTGGTTCTTTTTTAACTTATAAAATCATATAAGTGCGTGTCTGTCAACTTCCGTTTGCATCAATACGTAATATCAGTCAGTCAATCAGCTACAACATAGGACCAGGCACATATATGCATCGGTCCAAGTTGCCACACCTCATTAGCACAAGATGAACACCGAATTCATAGAAGTCACTTCAATGGTAGTAATATATAAAGGAAAGATTGTGTATAAGCATATAGTACAGGAAGAAAGAACTAGTTGATAGAAAGAAGGGCATATAGCAATTTTAATCTCACAGTTTAAGGGAAGACAGAGAGTGTATATACCTACGCCGTTGTGACCGATTATGAGTCGTGTCACACAGTCTCCAACCATTGGTTATTATAGTCGCGCGGACCCCAACCAAGTAGTCTGCATCTACTAACATGGCTAAAACTGGAAGTTAGTGACCTAAAGCACTGATGCCACGTTTTCGTTTGGCCGCTCCTAATTTTCTTCCAACCATCCCCAACACTAGTCAGCATTGCACGTCGTGGTAATCGGCATTCAGGCATACTCAACACATGGCCCAACCATCTCAGTCGATGAAGATTTACCTCATCAACTGATTTTCTATAATCCCCTAATCCCCTGTGTCTAACCTAACTATTAATTACCCAGTGATCCGAGATGTGAGAAATATTTAAAAGACATTTGTGGTCAAATACTAGTATCTTATAAGTATCTTCTACTCTTAATGGTCACGTTTCGTAGCTGTAAAGTAAAACAGAACGAACTGCTGTGTAGTATGTTAGTCGTTTTAGTGATAGACGAATATCTCGCCCTTGCCATAGGTGACATAAGTTGGCAAAAGCTAGACGAGTTTTCGGAATCCGTGCTGAGATTTCGTCAGACACCAACCCATTACGGCTGACCACACTTCAAAGATAAGTAAAGCTATCGACCGATTCGACTACTTCACTCCCTATCTTTAGTTGACGCAGGTCAGTTCTAGAGCAACAACTTGCATTTAAAGGGAGAGGAACGCGTCCCAAACGTCCTGGCATTGATGTTCAGTGCTACCAAAACACTGCATTTTATCAGCGTCCTCGCCAAACAGAACTATATCATCTGCATATTCCAATTCGATAAGTGGACCTTCTGCTAGGAGATCAATGTTTGGAAATTTACTCGACGAGAGTGTTATTCCCATCAGTAGGTCTATGATGAAATTGAACAAAAAAGGAGATAGTGGACAGCCTTGACGGAAACCACTTGAGGTTGAGTTCGCCATAAGCTCTGACTCGACTAGTAGTGTTGGAGTAAAGACCTTTCACAAGGTTTATGTACTTCTGAGGTACGCCTTTCAATGGCAGACATTGCCACAGAACCTCTCGGTCTACAGAGTCGAATGCTGCTTTTAAGTCAAGAAAGACCACCACTGTCGGACGCCAATAAGCATCCCTGTGTTCTAGAACCTGACGAATTGTGAGTATGCGGTCGATGCAGCCACGACCAGGTCTGAAGTCAACCTGATTTTCTCGCGTTCATAGTTCACAATTCTTTGTTAGGCGCTCCATAATTATTGAAGCTAGTATTTTAGTCAAAATAATCCCTCTATGGTTATCACAGGATGATTTTGACCCCTTCTTATATATTGGGACAATCAGTGATTGCGACCAGTCAGATGGAATTAGGTCCAACTCCCAAATTTTAGTTAAAATATTAGTCAGCCTAATCGCTAAAATTGGACCATCATCCTTAAAGACCTCTGGAGCCAATCCATTTGGACCAGCTGTTCTTCCTTGTTTCGGATTAGCTATAGCCTTTTGAACTTCAGGTAGAGTCGTGGGACCTACTTCAATGTTCCATTCAGGCGGTCTGGGAATGATGAGTGGTTGTAGAGTAGCTGAACTTCTCCCTAAAGTGTTCAGCCCATCGTTCTAAACGTCTAGACTAGGAGCAGATAAGAGTGTCGTCTTTTTCCGAGATAGTCTCACTTACACTTGACTTCTTAATTCCAATTTCTTTTATTAGTCCCAAAAGCTGTCTTGTGTTACCTACAGCCGCCGCCTTTTCCATCTCTTGCTTCCGTTGCTCACCACTGCTCACGGTCGTTCCTTCGACTTTTGGTTAACCTAGACCTGATGTGTAGGTATCATTACCAAGGTTTGACTTCATAATTTCGAATAAATTGAGCATTGGGTAGACTTTTATGAATAAAAAGTAATATGTTGGTAATATCCTAATTAATAGAAAAATTAGGTTTTCTGACGTTTAGTGACTTAGTGTAGGGCACTTCTTCAGAGAATAAATAAATAACCAAATCAAAATTAATCCAAGTTTAAATAGTATAAACAAAACAACAAAAATATCATGAGATGGAGTTGTCAAGATAAATATCGAATCAATAGAAATGGTAGTAATGATAATAAAACAGAATAAACGCAGAATATGATATAAGAAGAAAAAATGGAGTTGTGGGATAGCAGTATTGAACAGTTTTAAAACTTAGGATATGGGACTAGAAAAATGCGTCCGCCTTACTGCAACCATTTTTGAAACATTTCATTGTCTTCGACTATCAGTTACAATACCCATAAGTACCTTGACCGAGTAGCCTGCACCTACCGTTTCTTATTTTAGCCATTTCTACCTCTCTTTCTATCTACTTCAATGCCAACCAACATTGTGCGTTAACATAGACAGTGGTTGAGCATATGCAGTACGTGTCCCAGCCACGTTAGTCGATAGAGACACATCTTCACCAACCGATTTGCTATATTTTACCAGTGTCCTGAGTCTAAGCTTACCGTTGCTTTTTCAGTGGTCTCACGATAGACAGGCTATATTTCAGTAAGATATGTAATCATATACTGGTGATTTTCGAGTATGTTTCAGATTGGTTCGTCTGTAATTATCACAAAGAGATTTATGCCCTTTCTTATAACTCGGATCAGTTAATGATGGAGACCATTCATATGAGATTGTGTCCAGCTCCTAAGCTCTACCATTTTATGAAGCTACAGATCATTAAATATACTTAAATATAGGATTCAGTATTGTATTGTTTATCGACGTAGATTATTTAGTAGGCGGCTGTCCTCCATCTTGGTTTACTTAATAAGTCATCCAGTTCTAAGATGATTCTAACAGTAAACTGATTGTAAACGGAAAACTATCATGATCCAGAGAGCCATGGACAGTGGTTTCATATCTGTTCTTAACTCACCAACTTCACTTATTTCTGATTCCATGAAGAATGAAATCCTTCCCACATAAAACTATGTTTTATCTCTCTCTCTCTCTCTCTCTCTCTCTCTATATATATATATATATATATATATATATATATATATATATATATATATATATATATACTAACATCATTATTTTTCTTGATTAATATTTACAGTAATATAGGTCAATTGGCTTGTCTATATGCTAAACAGCATAGCCTTACACGAATTATTTTTGGTGGATATTTTATTCGGGGACATGGGTTAACAATGGAAGTAAGCATTTTCCTTTGGGGATGAAAATTACACTTTTATTATGATATGTTCTCGTTAATGAAGCTATCAACCTCCTAGTATACATCCCACTCCTTGGAGTACATCTAGATTGTCATAGTCACAAACAACATAGAGCATGGCGTAAATGTGAGTGTCCAAATCCCCACCATTTACACGAACACAATACGATGAAATTAATATGACATAAAGTAAACGAGTAGAAATTATAATTCCAACGGGATTGATAAGTTAAATATGGTGGATACCGTTCGAAAAAATGAAAAGTATATGATAATATCGAAACTTAAGATTCAGAAGAAGACTAACAATAAATTCATCCACGTCTCTGACCGACCTCATTCCACGTTGCCTAATATCTTTCACGATAGATTATAATTGCCTACTAGATTTCGGTCAGGAAAATGAACACATCCCAACATAGCTTATTCCCACCGTCAGTAATTTGATTTACTGTTGCCATGTCGTGATTTGGGAACAAATAACACTTTCCCAACATGCCCTTTCTTTAACTAGCATAAAGTATCAGAGTAGATGGTAACTGCGGTAAGAAAACACTGTTTTGTGTGGAAATATAGGGATGAGTACAATTATTTACAGTATTTGTAATTACAGTTTAGTGATTAGATTAGGATGATCCAAATACTGGAAAGATGCCTTTCTCATTTTTAAAGGAGAAAGTATATCGAAGTCTTCAAAGTCGGGCTCCACCGTACTTATGAGACTTTAATGTCAAATTATGTTTTGGGGTTATAAGATGAGAAACACATCTTTGAGAATTATTATTCCGTCAATAATAAATTTATTTTTCTGGATGATAATTATTTTCCATTTGGTTTGGATTTAATCAAATCTGATACTGAAAGTTAATAACAGTTTCATGCTTTGTTTTACTGCCACTGCGATCACGTTCTGTATGCTGCAAAAAGGTAGTAAGTTGTGTAAAATGCTTCCTACTATCACTAGAATCAAGGGAATTTATCATATTCCTTGGAGTTCACTAATTCTATCCATTTAGCTTCACCGTTGACATTCTCAATTTAATGTTTCTGTCGAGTTATTATGAACTGTGTAATGTTATTCTGCTTTACATTGTAAATGTTGATCTAACGCATTAACTTCATGCTTTTTGTCTATTCAGGTAATTACTTATGCCGTTCGGTTTTGGTCAGGCGGAGAATACAAAGCCTTATTTTTACGGCATGAAGGGTATTTAGGGGCAGTAGGTGCATTTCTGAAAACTTGTAAGAATAATAATTCAACGGAACGAAAAGCACTTTGGTCTGAGAACTATGTAGTTAGCTCGAGTAATACTCCTTTCTCTGATAATCCGTTTGAATCAAAACCATATGCGACCAATCACAGTAAAGAAGAAACAGATTTCAGTAAAGTTCCTCCCCATGATCTGTCAATTGTGAATTCTTCAGTTGGTAAAGTACCGAATCCAAAACACTTAATAATCGCTCAAAAAGCAGAAGAAAGCAAGTCTACTTTAAAGAGTTCTTCAAAGTCTACGTCACAGAAACACGAAATTTCAAAACTGCCTAACTTTGAACTCGATCGTGTATTTACACATTCTCTAGAAATGTTTCATTTTCTAGAGTCACCCGCAAATTATTCACCAGATACATGGGATCTAACTCACGATGAAGAAGCCAGGATTTATTGGTTAGGTTGTTTCGAAGTAAGTAGTATTAAATAGATTTAAGTGGAGTTTTGTTCTCTGAGCTGGATGGTTTGGTCGTGGATCTTCGATTGTTCATCTGAATAAAATCATCAGCACAAACTTCAGATAGAAGTGAAGTGCTCGATTAGTGGTTGAATGCCATGACGTCTCATATAAATGTATGTGGACAACTGTGGACATACATTCAAGTAAAAAATGTTGAAATCTTGGATGGAGGGAATACCAAAAGCACTAGAGAATTTTTAGAAGCTTGATACTTAAATCAATCAGCAAACATATTGAAATCAATTCAATCTATCAATCAATCAGAAAAATAATAGACAAATATAGGACCGGAAATCGAATCAATGGGAGATACAATCAAAATAAAGAAGTAGTCAATAACAGGTTAAAGTTCAACAATAACCAAACAACATCGAGATCCACAGAACAAACTGTGAGTTATATGTGGAGAAATTCTAACATTTCACTTCTACCTGAAGTTTGTGTTGATGACATTGTTTAGAAGAATAATGAATGTTCCTCGACGAAGCCATCTAACTCAGAAAAATTTCGAATTAAACAAAACTATAAAATAATTTTCCAACTCATTTTGATTTTGATGGTAATTTCATTTGCTTTATTTTTTAAATTCATATACATTTTAGTAGAACTGAATACTTAAAGTATTATAAAATGCATAAATAAGAAAATATTATATTTAATAAATTAACTAGGTAGAATGGAGGTACACTCAGTAAAAGCCTAATAGGATTCAATAAAAATAGTATATGACATAAGGTACAATTCAATTAAGACTACAACTAAGAAAAAAACTTCTTTTCATTGAAGTATTCATAAAATCGATTATTCAGCGAGTTGAAATTCTTTTTTTGCTAAGAAACAACTTTCAAAAGAAATAGGTTGTTAAATGAACTAGAAAATATAAAATTGAAATGAAATGAAGTAGAAAGTTGAAGCAGCGTAAAATTAGTTCACTTATTCTACAGTCCTTGTGAATATTGTTTGAATAGGTAGCTAAGCACAACGAGTAAATCAGTTCCTTCATTATTATTCATGTCAATAGTATGATGCTGTGTATGAAATGTGAACAGCTTCGATTGCAATTGTCTGAAAATCGTCATCCATGGATTTTTTTCAGAGTATTTATTTACTCAATATGATACTAAGCCTTTATGAACTAATAATAAATTAGTAAAAATGGCTAACGTTTACTGCAATTGACCTATAACATGTTGCGTTTCCCACTTTACCCCAACAACACTAATTCCCATGAATTGGCTACGATAAATAATAACGTCCACGGATAATTCTACTGTGCCCAATCTCCAATCTGTGCACGTTAAAAGTCAACTGACGTACCTTCGGTCATATTTTAATTTAAAGATTCACTTTTGTACATTAATTCCAAGACAACAACAAGCCATGAATACGAACTCTCAGTCTGTATAAAACTAGATCATTTATGGCACAGTACTGAATAACAGGTATATCACAAACTGATATAAGTTAAACAGCCATTGAGAACCTGAAAGCATTGAACAACCATTTCGTTCTAGTGTGGGACTGTTCAAAAATTGGCATTTGCGACCCCGTAACCGAAAACTAAACCCAGGACCTTTGGTCTTGTATGCAAACACTTAGCCTTTAGACAAGTAAGCTGCAATCTAATGGCGTAGAAGCTTAACTTCGATCAATACACTATCGAATTTGTTAACTTTTCTAGATAATGCAGTAAGAAAACGGAGTTTATCGAAACTATTTCATAATTTAGGGCCGTATATTTTGAGAAAGTGGACTACACATTTACTTGTTAAAACATTCAAGCATTAATAAAAACAAGGATTGCCCCCAAATACCCTGGTACGGCCGAGGGTAGAGAGAGTTTTTTTCCCCCTCTCGAAATGCTCTCGCATGGCCACGCGTATACAGCCACTGCCGGGGAAGTTCTAGTCACTGCCTTCTCGTGGCGGTGGTGTTGTTTACAAAATTGAGAGGACGAAAAGCGAATTTCCAGCGCTTTAACCGGGTTGGAAAACACTGCGGGTTCACCTGAGGGAGTTGGAAAGCCCTGATTCCAAACCAATGGCGCACATGGGCTCCAGTATCCTGAAGGAACAAATGGCGTGTGAACCAATTGTTGGTCATCGGCTAACATGGGACTGCATCTCCTGACGTTGCTTCACTACCTTGTGTATCAAACCTTTAGGTCGAAGGCTCCGGGCGTGACCCCCTTAGAAAACTACCTGCTTCGGTTTGAGCACCCGGGCAGTATCATAGCCCACACACAAATTAAGTGACTTGTGTGGTGCATACGGATTCGGCGCTATTTGTACCAATATTTATGTGTTCAAAGAAAAACAAGGATCAAATCAGGCTGATTTATGAGACGAAAATTATCCAAAGTGGTATGATTCATACTGTTTTATAGCGATTGTCTTTGTTTTTCTCTTAGATTTGTTTAGTATGACCTATTTTTCACATATAAATGTGTTAACAAGTTAATATGTGATCACATTATTCCAAATATATTGCGCTCATACATCACATTGCTCTGATAAATTTTATCGTCTTATGGCATTGATCAGGGCAATTGATTATTTTTACTGTAAGTTATGAACAGTAAAAGACAAACCAACAAATAATGAGTTAAATGAGAACTCATTGCTGAAACAGTATAAAAATACCATAAACGAATTTTTTTTACGCATGCACACTATACATACGTATTGGGTCGTCTTATAATAGTTTTCAAAGCTTTGGATTTTTAATTTGTTTGCATATTTCCAACAAAACAGATGATTTATCTCCAGGTTTGTGATCCAACTTGAGAGTCAAAAACCTAATATACTTTGATATCAATGTATATTATGAAATTTATTTGTCCTTCGCTTTATTTATTACTGAAAAATGTATTTCTCACTCACTAAATCAGTTGAACTGTAAGAACTTCTTCATTTTATCAGTGATTTGAGGAAGAATGAATAAACGTTTTATATTGTCATGGTTAACAATTTCTATTAACCAAAATAAGAATTCCAGAGTGATTACTTTCATGAGTCATCTGTAAGGAAATTTCAAACATGTCAATTGAAAGGGAATGAATTTTAAGTCTATGTTTCCTAGTCCAATCGTTTACTAATGCTAGTCGGCTTCTGTTTTTATTTCCTAATTTTTCAGTTTTCTTGGTCTAAAATGTCTCAATAAATTTTGTTTGAAATTAATGTCTGGTAACTGTTAAGTAACCAAGTTATAGAAAACATTTTATTAGTAAAACGTAACGTTTTTTATCAATTACGTCACACAATACATTCTTTTATTTCAATATTCAATATCACTCAGCTTCAATAATTATCTAATGTAATTTATTTGATTTTTGTATATTCCAGAGCTGTATAGAATATCACAGAGCAAAAGCTGAAGAAAGTCAATCTGACACATTATCAGATGCCTCTGACCGTTCACATCAGTTCGCTGAACGATATAAACGATTCCTACGTGAATTGAGTGCTGATCCAAGTGGTCGTGGGGTGCTCACTGTAAGATGCCTTTTATCCGCTCAACAGCATTTCTTACGTGAATATGGATTTGGAGATGTCTTTTGTTTACAGAAAAGAGTAAGCAGAAAATTTTAATAAGATGTAAGAAAACTCGTTAACATAGGAGCTTCGTTACTCGTCTTTCAATCATTGACTACCATTGTTCACTGTCAAACACTAATATGAGTCTCACCGTCTGACTCATAGACATGTAATTTGGCTGTTCAGTTGCGTTAAACATTTCTAATCCTTCATATATAATAAAATATTCATCTTATAATATTAAAAGGACATTAAAAGGTATCTATTTAATGTGTTATCAATTTTATTTTATCATAAATAGTTCATTTTTGTTTTGTTTTGAAAGTTTGAAAATCGAGGTGCTCTTTCTGCTCTTATGGATCGATTAAGTGAACTTTCTAAATTGGATTGGTCTAATCGTCAACTGTCTTTGATTGAAGGTCTTTTGGCTGGTAATATGTTTGATTGGGGTGCAGCTGAGGCAATTCAATTCCTAAAGGAAGCTCCAAAGAATAAATTTGGTGCCGCTGACTTTCATGTTATATTAGATAAAGTTCAGGTGGGTTGAAATCTTTGTACAAAATAGTTGTTTCAGAGGACAAACGCCTAAAATTTTCACTACTGAGTTATAAGTTTTAATCTCATCTCGCTGAATTTATCTTAGAAAGCCGCGCACTATGTTCAGTCTTGGCAGGTGTACTTCGTAATCTTGCTTATAAACCTATTTCTGTTTACAAGGTTGTCTCTCAGTGCAAAACATCTTTAAATTGTTCGCTTTAAGTACGCTTTTGATAATACTTGTTTTTCATGAACATCCCCACCTTACTTATAGGTATAACTCGATAAAGTTATGCTCATATACAGGTAAATTTCTATTATCTATATCTCTTTTAATTATATTGTTTTTTTATGGAATTATTCATTATTACCAGATATTTATATCTTTTTCTTATAGTCTAGACCTTGGTTAGTTGACAATTTTGATAATTGGATTGATCGAATCAGCGTGTCCGGATCACCTTATCGTTGTATTTTAATTTTCTGCGATAATAGTGGTGCAGACATTATACTTGGTGTACTACCATTTGCTATGGAATTTCTAAATCGTGGATGTAAAGTAATAATGGCGGCTAATTCAAGTAAACAAGATTTAATAAATTAGTAGACTTTGATTCATGATGTTGTCTAGTTACTGTTTAATTATGCTCAATTGTTTAAACTATCATCTGTCCACGTTTAATTGGTAGAGGATAGTAGAAATTGAGTAATTACATAATCTAGGCTTTTTTTCTAAACGTCTTCCGATCTCCGTATGTTTTCTTTAAGTAGTGAAACTTTAAAATGCTTTTGGCCATTTCCTGTCACTTTTTTGAGTTGATCAATTTTCAGCATATTACTTATTCTGACTAGATGTTTCTGCGTTCTATTAAGTGGACTTTTGAAAGAGACTATTCCCTGTTGGGTGAAATCTTGAAAGTTGTGGTGTTAGTAGTAAACCGTATGATACAATTATGGATATGGTTGTGTTCAGTGAATAACTTAAATCTTACTAACAATGACTAACCACAATTATTTTATACTAACGAGTTTTTAGTTGTTTATTTTTTGTCTGAGTGGATCATAAATGCATTAGAGTAAATGCACGTAATTCAAAGCATAAAACCCCTATAGTAACTTATTTAGCATAAATATTTTTTGCGACAAAATTGTCATAAAGTAAAAAGGACTAGTACAAAGCAATTGTAATTAACACTTGTCAATGTATTTCTGTTACTTAATTTTCCGTTGTTTTGGGTAAAACTTTAAATTAGGTAACAATAAGATGTCTTAGATTGGGGCATACTCATCAGGGCGAGGGTGAAAATAGAATTATAAGCCATATTAGGTCCACGAAATATAACGAAATCCACTGGCAAAAATAAAATTTTTAGCAATTAAGTCTGTAAAGCAGTAGATAAATGGAAAAATTTCGGTGCTTTTTTATGTTGATGATCACTTTTCTTTTACAATAGTTCAATGAATAAAGTATTCGATTTTCGGCTACTTGATTAAAGGTTCTAATTCTATTCTATTTATTTAGACTTAGATAACTAGTTTGTAGCATTATTCCTATTACTTAGCTCAATGTCAAGTATACAAATCTGTACCTTGTTGATGAGTTAATAATAATAATAATCATAATGTTTATGTCTTACCTCTTTTGAGTAAGGATAGCATTTCACTTTGTTTAGCGACTTTTAAGAAAATCTTTATTGATTTTTACCGTAAATTTACTTTTTATCAAGTTTTTCATAAATTGTGCATATTTCAATGTTTTATTGTTTATATAAGTGTTTTTCTTTGTCTAGGTCCTGCTATCAATGATATAACTTATCAAGAATTGGAACTACTCCTACACATGATAGCATCTTTTGAGCCTTTAATAGCCGAATCTCTTAATAATGGACAACTTATGTTAGCTGAAAATGGCCAAACTTCACCTTGTTTAGATTTTCGTCTAATTGCTAGCTCGTTGGTTCAGTTGGCAGAACGTGAACAGGTAAAATTGTATATATATATATATATATATATATATATATATATATATATATATATATATATATATATATATATGGTTATTTTTCCCCGGTAATCCTCTATCATTTGCTCAGTATATGAAGATTTCGAAAATTTAAATGCATCAAACTTTATTTTAATCTGAATAGATCATTCCATAGTTGTTTTTCGCTGTTGTTCAGTAGTAATTTGTAGTAAATAATTTTCAAATTTTTAATTCTAAGTTAAAAAAGAATATAATTTTGTTGATTCACTAGTCCGTTGGAATTACTGACAATTTCTGTCATTATGTATTATGTTATATCATACCGACTCGAATCGTACTCATCTCTGTTAGCATCAAATCTTATAATCTCACTGCATATCTGTTTGTGTTTTCTTCTCCATTCTCTGCTCGGAGGACATATATGAGTTCACGTTATCAAACGTCCTGTAATCATGTTCATATGAAATCGTAATTTGTGACTCTGAAATTGTTCAGTATTTGTAAAATATAATTATGTGCTCAATGTTTATTATATAGGTCGACTTGATTGTCATTGAAGGTATGGGTCGAGCAATTCATTGTAATTTAAATGCAAAATTCACCGTGGATACACTCAAAATAGCTGTGATTAAAAATTCTTGGCTTGCCCGAAGGTTAGGCGGTCAACTATATGGTGTGATATTTAAATTTGAACCTGTTTCACAGTCAAGATAATAATCTGAATATTATGTAAATTGTTGTTGTATCAAGAGAGTTGTTTACATGAATTAATTAATTGATTCCATATAGTATTAAAAATGTATCTAGCTCAGTTGCTGAACAATACCTTCATTTCTTATATTCCTTGCTTCTTGTTACTGTAAATCATGCCATACACTACTACTTACTTATTGTTAAATACTTCTTCCGGAACATTCCTTCACAAATATTTGACATCTAACTAATTTTTTCTGCAAATTACTATCAAAGTATACACTAGTTTCTTTCTATTCATCTTTATTATTATTATTATTATTATTATTATTTCTATATAATTGTAATAATGTTACATGAAAACATTTCAGATTAATCAAATATTGGCTGTAAAATTATTTGATTTCTTTGTGATGTATTCTGTTAGTAATAATTATTTGATGATTGATAATGTGTTTCAATCTTATCTTTGTTGCCATGGTTGTTATCTTTGATATTGTCATCATTGTTTACCATCGACTTTTCTCGTGTGTTTTTTCTCATTGTAATAGTTATATTTTTCTCTTCCAACTTTGTATAGATTTGCTGTCCTTTAATATTAGACTTGGGATTAAATGTATTTCTTAATTAACATGTAAACATTCTGTGCAAAACTCATTATTCAATATAATTTTAGTATATTTCAAAATTTCTAGTCTTTTCACTATTTTTAAAATGCAATCTACTTTCAATGTTTTTAAGTAGTCTTTCTACTAGTGATATCCTTTCTTTATTACGCATCTATTTAATTGTGTTTTCTTTTTTTATGTATATTATTCTCATCTAGTCCTATTATTAATCATCTAAAAAAGGATTTTAGTTTGTTTAGTAACTAAATTTTAAGAAAGTGAACGTCAATTAAGTTGTGTTCTGTGAATTTGTTCACTTAGTTACTGTGTCAATTTATTTTCAAGCAATTCCTTTTTTTTGTTAATTGAGAAGGGGAAAATTGACGTTTGTCCCTTTTTTTAATAACAAAACATTTATCGCATGAAGTAGCCATTTTTTAAAAAAAGCAACGTATCAGTATTTGTAAAATGTATCAATGATGTTCTTAATTTCAAATACACTTTGGATAATATGTTTTTTTTGCCTCGACATTGCCTTACGTCACAAGCATTATAAAGAGAGATGGATAGTAGTTAGCAGCGGGATATAGGACCTTGGCACATCCAACTGACGAGTCCCAAATGGGACGAAACGTGCATCCTGGATTACATTGCTAGCCACCGTCCATCTTTGCCGACTCAAATTAGGTAGCAAGATTCCTCTCACTACCGAGCAGCACCATGTGAAAGCTTTGAGTCGGACTTTGCTGCCATAAAGTTTATAATTTACATCTAATGGGACATACAAAATTTTATTGTATTAATTGTTATGGTATCTGATGTGCTGTAAAACTGACCTGTAACCTTTCAGAGCTTTCAACATTATTCTTTTATAATTTTGTAAAACTCTTCTATTCTACTGTAAACGACTTACATGCCAAACTTACCTGTTAGTGCGATTGTACAGCATAAGGAAATGATATCATCGAAAAGAAAATTTTCTACAGTGATATGTCTTCATTTCTTTTCATGAATCAACGGGTTTCTTTCGTTTTAAAATTGGAAAGGTTCTTAATGTGGTTAAGTAACCCAACAGTTTTCAGCAATACGCTATCAAGTGTGTAATAGCAAATGCGAGAATCGACTTTCTAATAGTCTGTATTGATAAACACGAATAGTCGAAATTATTTTGAAATACACTCCGCTGAAACCACATGTACTCTAACCGTCTGTCATTTAAACGTCTGACAATGAATTATATCGACATGGCAAAGCCTAAGTTGCCTGAAGTGGAACGTAATAATCCGTTTAGAGTACATGGATTATATGATTTATTAAGTGATGAATGTCAGTTATTCAAAAAATATGTCGACACCATTGCACAGAAACGTTTTGAAGGGATAACAAGCTCATAAAACGTTTTCGACAAATGAAGTCGATGACATTACCAGAATCTTATGAGAAATATGTTTTTCCAACTATAACAGTACGTGTTTATCCACATTCCATAAGCAAGAATTGTCACTCGGTCCAAGTTTTCTGACTTTTCTACGAAAATTGAGAAACGCTACACAAAAATAAAACTCGGAAATCTTGTATTTGTTGTATTATTTATGTATTTTTTACTACCTTGCTAGTGCTGATCGGTTTCTATCGACCTAGTCTCAGTGTGTCCCTTAGTTTCTCAAGCTCACATGCAAACATTCCTGGTAAGTGTCAAATGGCATGAAACTTAGTTACAGGGTTTTCCTGTCAGTTACTTCTTACAAACGTCTTATATTTCTGAAAATACTGCATAGATTCATTTATTGACAATTTTTTATCGCTTTGTTAAGTGATTCAACATCCATTTTATTCAATACTTGAAAATTTACGATAATTTAATTCATTTCATGGTATAACACTAATTCATCTGTTATAGACATCTATATTTCATACTTGATTACTTTTAACTATCTTTGATAATTTTGTTTAATGATTTCACACACCTCGGTATCATTATAAACTACTACATATAAAAATAACCTTTCTTAATATTATTTTTCTTTCGTAAAAATCGACCACTTATCATACTAACAATATGAGCCCCAAAATGCACTGGTACACCTGAGGGTGGAAAAAGTCAGCTATGTCTCTCGAAATGCTTTCACATAGTTACGTGTATACAGCCACTGTCAGGGAAGTCCTACTTACTACCTTCTCGCGACGGGGTTGTTGTTTACAAAATTGAAAAGACGAAAAGCGAAAGTCCGGCACTCAAACCAGACTGGTTGGTACGGAGTATCCACATTGGGAAGTTGAAAGAAACCTTGATACCAATCCAGTGGTGCACATGGGCTCCAGGATTGTGAGGGGGAAAATGGCGTATGAACCAATTGTTAGTCACCGGCTACCATGGGACTGCATCTCCTGACGTTGCTCCACTACCTTGTGGATCAGATCTTCACATCGAAGACTCGTGGTGTTACCACCTAAGAAAACTACCTGCTTCGGTTTGGGCATCCGAGCAGTATTCCAACCCTCACACATATCGAATGATTTATGTGGCGCATATATAGTACATTCTTGTACCGATGTTTATGCTTTAATAATAAACAATATAAACTTATTATTTGAAGTATTTCTTATTTGTGTATATACAAAAACAAACAAGCATAAATTGTTTTTCATAATCATCATTATTATACTTACATAAAAAATATTTATAATAAAATGTCGATTACTTCATAATGTGTATAGATAAACACAATTACGTGAATGTATAGTACATTACGACTATTAAAAAACTTGAACATTTTGTTTTAATTCATTTTTCTAGGAAAAAAAACCTTGATTATACAGTATACTATTCATAATGATAGCGATATGATGACTGTAAAGATGAATTATAAAGAGAAAATAAGCTTGATTATATCAGTAAATATTGAAGTAACAACTTCTGCTCTATTGTCCTTCTAAAAGAAAACACGAAATGAATTAATTAGAGTTTAATGAATTGACTGTCTTATTTTATGCATACTTTCCTATTATTGATTTATTTCGCTGTCTTCTAGAGTTTTCCATCGTTTAAATATTTCTTGGGCATATGAGTCTGTACGTTGACCCAAAATATCTAATGCGCCATATTCTGAAAATAAAAGTTTTCCATCACAAAAAAATGATTTTGAACATTAACTAACAAATGTATTTAAAAGGGTGTACGGTACACATGAGCTATAATTTTTTTATCATTATAAATCCCATTTTAAAAAAAGCTCTTCGGATGGCCAAGCTATCTTCTTACTTGTATATTCATTTTCACATTTAGAATTGAAACAGTATTAAATTCATCATGAGTATTTCCTACATGAATAATTCTTTAGTGAATAGTTTTAAGATTCGAACTTCATGGCTTTTTAACTCAAATCGATGACCTGTAAAATTACACATATGGCAATCGATAAAATCTTTCTCCGACAACACTGACTGATGGTCACATTGGGCTATAAATTGACTGAAATTAACAACATAAAGCACGGGATCCTGTCTAATTGGACTCGGACGCTTTGTAGATTTGTTGGTACACACTTATGAGAAGTGTTAAATATAGGATGAATAAGCTATTTATTGCTTAGTGCACCAATATTACTCCAAACGACGTTCATTTTTCATTAAAACATGAACATATGATCCTTAAAGCCAAATAAATATGGAAATAAACTAAAAATACGATAGAATGTATAAGCATAAAACGATCGTGATGTGTTTAGGATATAAGGTTACATAGACAGTAAGAGTATATAATTTGTGATTTACAAGGGTCAACTTTAACTATATCAACAACACTAGAATATGTACAGTTTTGTCGCTATACTAATAGTCTGTGATTTCATGAGTTGGCAAACTACCTCAATTAAAAAAATTGAACACTAACCATTTCATATTCCTAATTTTAGTCAAAATAGCATTTATGTATCAAAGGGTCATTTTCATATATATATATATATTGACTTACTTTTACTGATCGGTCGGATCAGCGGTAAGCATAATTGTAGCTGTTTACATTCATTGGCAGATCTATTCTGTAATCGAGAGTTTGAAAAAACTAGTTTCGAATTCTCTGGATTTATTTCTTGTTTATTTGATGATTTCATTAGTAATGAAGGTCGAATAAATACACATCCTTCGAAATCGTCCGACATAATCAAATCATGATCCATGACAATAAAAGCTAAACAGAATGATGGATGTTGTAATTCTTCTGGAGTAACCGGACTGAAAATTAAAGAAATACATTTTGATCATTTAAGTCAAATAGTGGATTAATCGATTCTATGATTAACAATATCCAACAGTTGCTTCACTAAACATAATTTTACCAAGTTGTTCGTACTGGAAATTATTGTGCGAATATCTCGATACTATTGTTTATTATAGTTCCGTAGTATGTATGTG